CTGTTGATGACTAATGAGTGACTTGAAAAGGATGAGTGCAATGTTTAGTCTTATAAGATTATTTATTGACTGTACTTTTACCTCTTATCTATTTTTTGATTAACCTTTTTTGAAATACAAGAATTACTCTGTGTCTGTCACCATGTTTATGAGGTTTTGGTGCTAGAGATTAATGGATGAAGATATACTACAAAAGATTTTTTCTCTTTTCTTATTATATTTTAAAGGGGAAATAAGTCACTGCTCCCAGTGCTTCATCCATGCTAATGGCAGCCTGCATATTTGCAGTTACTTGCAGGCATCAGTTTTCCTTTTTTATCACAAACTTGGTATCTACAAACTTCTTTTAAACAGAAAACCCAACTATTTATATGAATAATAACTTGTGCTTAAAATGTACATTTTTATAATTGCCTTGGTTAAATGTTTAGGTTAATTTAAATTAGACAACAATCTCATATATTTAACAAAATAATTCATAACAAGCCCTTCACAGGAAATAAACAAATTAGGATAGTTAGAAATTGCATGAAGAATTGAATGGTAAAGCAAAACAAACCCACAACTTTGATCCTTCCTCTTGACAGAACTAAGAAAAGCCAGCTTCAAATTTTGCCGTGACATCCAGAGAATAAAACACATTTGATATCTCAGCAACAGGCACAAACTTGGCATTTCAGTGAGAACAAACGACACTGAGCAGGAATAGTATGATTATACCTTTATGGTGAGTAATGAAGCAGTCTCACGCTCATGAAGAGAAACTGGTGACAGAAGTGAGAAGAATGCAACTGGCAAGATCAGAGAGGCAGTGAGGGAGGATCTACACCTCACACACATTAGCTCAATGTCATCCTGGCCTGCATCAGCAATAGTGTGGCCAGCACAGCTACAGAAGTGATTGTCCCCCTGCCAGCATCAGTCCCCCTGTACCCAGCACTGGTGAGGCCACACCTCTCATCCTGTGTCCAGTTCTGGGCCCCTCACTGCAGGAAAGACACTGAGGGGCTGGAGGGTGCCCAGAGAAGGGCAACAGAGCTGGGGAAGGATCTGGAGCACAAGTCATGAAGAACAGCTGAGGGAACGGAGGTTATTTGACCTGGAGAAAAGGAGGCTCAGGGGAGACCTTATTGCTCTCTACACCTGAAAGCAGGCTGTAGAGAAATGGGGGTTGGTCTCTTCTCCCAGGCTGCTGGTGACAGGACAAGAAGAAATACCTTCACATTGAGCCAGAGGAGATTTAGGCTCGATCTTGGGAAAAATATCTTCAATGAAGGGCTGTTCAGATATTGGAATAGCCTGCCTAGGGCAGTGATGTAATAACCATCCTGAAAGTATTGAAAAAGCATGCAGATATGGCACTTGAAAACATGATTTAGAGGTGAACATGGCAGTCTCAGGTTAACAGTTAGACTCAATGACTTAAGTGGTCATTTCCAACCTCAATGACTCAGTGACTCTATGTGGTTTAGAGGGAAAAAAAAAGAGCAGAAAATTAAAAGAAAAAAAGAGACATTTCAATGTTTTTGCAGAAGAAAATGTCTCTTGTAACTTATTAGACAAATCTGCTCACTGTGTATAGAAGTCTAGTAGAAACCTAGTGAGTAAATTAAGACAGAAATTTTCATATCTAATGTGGAGATGAATAAAATCTCAGGTAAAATTATTTTAGTAATACAAAAGCATTTTACAAATCTGAGTTGGTAAAAAGTCAGAAAAAATGTGCTGTTTACTGTGAGATTATCCAACTTTTAGTATAGGATTCAGGCCCTTGAACTCTGTCCCACTTTTACTTTTTTTGTTTAGATTAGTATTTTTCACATGTCTAAAAGTACTGTCTCTCTGCTTCCAGAAACCAGGATTTTATACTTTACATTTTTCTCAATTATTTGGTTCTGAATGGCAGGTAGTTTCTTTCTTCTCTTCACTCTGCATATGTCTCTTCCTCTTCAATTTCATCTCCTCTCCTCCCATCTCCTCTCCTGTCAATGTGTGGGCTCTGCTCTTGCAAAATTGCAATAATTTGATTTATTCACTTCTGTGATGAAAGAGAATTTTTATGAAGAGTTACAGTGTCTCAACTGACACAGAAGGGCTTTTTAGCTCTAGCAATTTGTTTGTGTGTTTAAGTCTTTGTATTTCTTTTTAAGCTTTTTTCAAATATTTTTAAAATCTAGTGAAGTTCATTTGTTGTAATCTGTTTCTTATTGGAGGTATCAAACCACACACTTTAGTTTTTTCATCAGTAGTCTCATTGAAACTATCAGGACAGTTTACATACCTGAACTTCAACAAGAGGTTTATAAATCTTATTTCTGAGAGAGGTATCAATACCACATTACTTTTCAGTGTCTGAACTGCCACATTGCTCTCTGTCTGCCTCAGTTTCCAAGCTTTCATCTTTCTTCCTCTCTCAGGGGACATCTACAAGTCTACACAGCTGTCATAACTACCACTAGACTTGTGCTAACTGATCTAAGATGAAGGATTCTCAGAGATAGAGCTGTGCTTATTCCATGCAAGAATATTAGTGTGGGAGAGAGGAGAGAAAAAAAGACTAACTCTGTAGGTTGCTCTTCAAGCATTTGTCAGGGATATGCAACACAGAGATTCATGGAGATTCTAGTCCCAGGAAATTTGAGATAAATATGCAAAAGTGATACAATTTTCAGTGGAATCACTGGGAAAAAACTCTCAAATTGCTCCAGCATATGTGGGTTTTGCATATACATAGGGAAATTAAATTCAAGTTCTGGCTCCAAATCTCTTTCATATGAACAAGTAACACTGCTCCTTGTGAGTGGTGCAGCTGAGGGTTGATCTTATTTTTCATGGATAAAGGAGATTACAAAAATGTCTTAATGTAATAAAATTAGAACCTTAAATAGATTGATCTTTGTAGCAGACAGGAAAGCACATACCTCTGCTTAGAACAGAGATTTAAGAACCTGTGTCATACTCTATTTTTTTTCGTTTTATACCCAGAACATCTGTGAGTCTTCGCACAGCCTCGTAGTTCTTACCATGAGATCTTCTGTGTGAGAAGTTTGGTTTGATGGATGTCCCCTCTAATTAGGTTATGCAGCGCTGATTTTACCCTGCCTTAATACCTTTTTAAGGAAATACTCCAATGAAATGTAGTTCAACACAGCCTAAGGTACTATACATCAAAAGAAGCACTGACCTCTTCAACTGTGCTCCTCTAGTGCTCAGTAAATGTGATGTCATTAAACAGAGCTAAGTTGGAATGTAAAGAAGGGTAAGCAGTGTTGCAGACCTGAATTTTGCCATATGGCACTCTTGGAGACTGCTACCATTGCTCAGCTGATACACAGTAATTAAAGTGAATTTCATTGTGTGTAAATCCCTTAAATGCTTCCTAAATCTCTCAGAAAGATCCTGGCAGGATGATATGTACTACTGTACTGCTTTCCTGCCTCTACAACACTTTTACAACTATAACCAGATTTCTTCCGTGGTTCAGTACTGCCCTTAACACTCTTATTGTTTTCCATAGCTACAAGTCATGATCTGTATTCTCTTCCTGTTGTGAAACATGTCAGAGTATGTGTCTGTCTGATTAACAACATCAGACTCATGTCTTATCTTTCTACACTGGAACATACTCCATTGTGAGGATGCAAGGGAATTGAGTTTGTGATGTCTTGTACAACACTGTGAAGATTAATGTACACTGCTGAATCTCTGACTACAGGAGTTCCCACTGGACAACACGATGGGAACAGTAGGGTATTTTGTTATCTACGGCCATGACATTATGTCCTAGTTTCACGCACCACAGTATACAGAAGTTGTTCTATTCAGAGAAGTTACTTACAGAAATGATGTAGGTGGAATAGCACAAAGACAAAAATTACTTGATCAAAATGAAGCATCCCACGATTCTTCCTAAGAAAGGGTGTTGTTCTGTAATTACATTAAACAATTTCCCAAAAACTGGCCCCTTGCAGATATGTGCTACTCTGCATGATTCTGAATGTCAGGTGTTTTCAGTAGTTCTCACCTCCACCTAGCTTCCAGGCATTCTATAAAATTCTCAATATGGCTGTGTAATATATTTCTGCTGTGATTCCTGGTATTTGTCATGATCAGACACTGAGCTGGGTTAAAAGGCAATAAGTACAATGCTTGCTCGTATAGTTTCTCTTAGATGTCAGACTGCATCCTTCACACCCTTTTATCTCCCTTGCTCTGCTATTTTCTTTCTACGGTGAAAGACTTTGCAATGGCTCTACTTTGCCCTTGGTCTTTACTGTCATAGGGCTTTATAACATGCAGGTTAAAGCTCTCCTTTCCATAACTAGAGCCAACAGAGGAGGCTTCATCCTGAAGTTGCTTTAATGATAAAGCAATGTCTTCTCAGCAATTCAGCAGTATTTCAGAAAGGCATCAGAAATTTAAAAAAAGTGGCCTGTTGAATAGGCTGAACTGGATTTTAGAGCCATTCCCACTAGATTTCACCTGTCGTATATTGGGGGAGGGGTATTATTGATCTACTTTTGAGTGGAATTTTAGTATTTTAGAATAAAAGTATTTTCCGAGATAAAAATTATTTTGAAACTAATGCATGAGACAGAGCGCTAGATGAATAGAGAGGATTTTTTTTTCCACAAAAGCCCTATAAAGACTATCTTTACGTGTTTGCACACTCAAAACAAAAAGAAAAAAAAGGAAAAGAAAATTAAAAAGCCTTGGATGCAGTGTAGTTAGCTCTAGAGTCTCTATCACAGTACCAATTCTGAGCTGTCAGAAGGCTGCTCTATTTTATTCTTTTTTTTCTCTCTCTGTGTGACACATTTTAGCTTTCTACAAAAAGGGAATAAAGGGGAAGCAGCTCCAGCTAGCCTTGGAAAAGCTATTTAGCTTGCATATTGTGGAACTGTCTTCCCTAGCTATAGTTACTGCCATTTTATAACACTGCAGCATATTGGATCAAAGACTAGAACTGCCACCTCCTGTTTACAATGGGCTGGAGCAGTCACAGAATTGTCAGGGCTACTTTCTGTCTCGGTGTGATTGGAAATAAGACTGAAAACGGTAGGTTGCTACCAACAGGTTCATTTCTTTTTTTGTTATTTAATTTTTGGCTTTCTGCAACCTGCAATGTCAATGCAAGTAAAGCTAAAAACATTTAACCCAGAAGGGCAAGTATCTTTTTTAATCCTTTCAAATATTCTTGAGTATACCTGGGATAACAGGCACAAGTATGCATGCAATACTATTGTTTCAGAGATAATTTCAAAGGCAAAACCATTGAACCAGGAAAAAAAACCTAAAAATAATCCTTGAAGTGTGTTCTAGATTTTTAATATATGTTATGCTGAGACAAGAGCTGTTAGACTACATAAACACTATGTCCCAAGACTTAGAAAGATTATTTTTGTAGCTCTGCCAGTACCAAATTTTTGTTAGAGTCATCAGTGATTTTCATTTTGCAGTGACAATATGGTGTTTAAAAATATAAATTGACTGCTTAGAATACTTCCTTTTAAAAGTGAAATTGCATTCCATGTATCCGGGGGGTGTTATCTTGGGGCTCTGGTAGAATAAGAAGCATTTGGCAGGCAGATTTCTAGTTTATATATCTGATTTACCTTTCCAACTTTAAGAAACTAATTTTGTTGCTTATACTCACAAAAAAGAGACATAGAGAAGAGAGACAACAGACTGCAATTTTCACACTGGAGTAAAATACAAACTTTTAGATTCCCATCACTGTGTCTGTTAATTCAGGTACCTTAGCAAGAAGATGTGCATATGCCTCTAAAGTTGGGTTTTCAAGAGACAAAAGAAACACAAACAAGAACTCACGATGTTCTTATAACACCAGCTAAGGTAAGAGACCTGTGTCTTTCTTCTGTGTCACTTCTTATAGCCCTTAAACAAACAATCTCATTCCTTTTCCTGCATGTGCCTTGTGCAAGACCTAGGAATTGCATCATTGCTCCCATTTAGTGTTGCTAGTTGGTTACTTAGGGGTGCATGCTGTAATGTGAAAAATAATGGGATGAAGATGAAGCTGATCTGCTGCTTTCCTTCTTACAGTGGGCTTTGACGTATGCTGAGATCAGAGAGTAAGATGCATGCTGCACCATGGGAACAAGGATCTTATGAGGATATTTGGTATCTATAATATACCATCTGTATGTGATTTAAGTCACTCTCAAAGGTGCAACCCTTCTGCTTACTTATTTTGTGTTTTTTATTGAAAGGCTGACTTGTATGTGCAAGCATCAGTTTGTGGACTCAGCGATAACTGAAGGACTATTGTCAAGAAACTTCTAAAGGGTTTTTGCAGTCTGTACAGGTCCCCTTTTTCATTCATGGTCCAACTAGAAGTGCTTATATCTTTAGTTTCAGAAGTTTCTGCTTTGATGCTGGTGGTGACTGTGCATCCATCACCATCATGCACACTGGATGTGTAATATTTTAAGGGATTAAACTTTGACAATACTGTTTCCTTAGGTCTCACAATGGTGTGTATAAAACAGAGTATGAACTATTTGGTACCTTATATAGTCTGTTATATTGAAAAAAAAAATGACACACTGCTAAGTACATATTTTGTAGAACTTTTAGAAAACTGGATCAAAAGTTGCATTTGCATCTCCCTTCCCTTTTTTCCTTTTTTTTTTTTTGTGCTTTTGCGAATGAAAGTATACATATATATATATATCTGTAAAGTATTTGGGACTGAAAAGTAAACAATTTTTTTCTCAAATATTTTCTGCTTTCTGCATTGAGAGATCCTTAGGTTAATGAAATCTCTTCAGCATTTTTTCTAAACTCACCTTCAATAATGAAGAGACACAAGACTTTGCATTTTGGGTCTGTTAATAGAACAAGAACTATGTCAATGGAAACTAATTCAAGAAGAAAACCTGGTGCTCAGAACATAAATAGGACTTAGAAATGCAGCTCCTAGAATTTCCAGCCTGCTTCAGTATCATAATAAAATAGAGTGATTATAATTACTACCTAGCTATAACTGTATTTTTTCATTAATTACCTTTTCTCACAGACATGTAGGCTCACACATTGATGCATTAAGATTTGGGCCATGTTTTTTAATATTCTTTTTCAACCCTTGGTATCCTTGTGTGTATTTGCTCAAAAGCGAAGCCAAGATGAACCATTTACTTTCTCTGTATTTACCAAAATTTATTAAATTAGTGGTGCAAAGAACACTTAATTCACACCCGCACATCAGACCCACTTCAAGTAATATTCTAGTACCATTCCTGCTACTTCTTCTTGCCTTGTATATTAACTTTAAATATCTTCTTCTAGTTCCTCTCTATGTGAAACTGTTTAAAATAAAGGAAGGAAAGAACTCTGGTGGTTACAGGAGCACTCCAGAATAGCTTTCTCTGCCTCAAGTCTCCAATTGGAGAAATTATTTCTCATTAATGACTCAACTCTCATTGAATTTTGGAAACATTTCACATGGAACTGAAAAGAACTACTTTACAAGGAGAGGAACTGTGTCCTTGCCATGTAGTGGACAGGTGATTACATTCAGCCATTTCTTTCCTCTTTTCTTCCAACTGCAGTCTGCAAGTCCTCTTTCAGCAATATTATCCCAGAGGAGGGAAAAAAAATCCCTGAAATGTTTGTTAGATAAAAGGCATTCTTTAAAAAAAGAAAATATATTAATTTGAATACTGTTACTTAGGCAACGTCAGAGATTCAGCATAGCTTATCACTTACTAAGAAGGAAAATTGCTCCAGGTACATGTAAATCTAGTTCATATAATTTCTTTATGCTCTTGGAAAGCTACCAGTTAATCCCAGACCACCTGGTCAGGCTCTCTCTTGTTTTTGAACCTAACAACTTAAACATCTGGCCCAGTCAAGGAAAAATAAGGGAAAAAAGGTCTAGCTGGGTCGCTTTCTCTCTTCATAAATAAGAGTAAAGTCAGGCATTCCTTAACTATCTCACCTGTGATTTGGATTTCATTTTTCTTTTGAGAGAACAGACTTGTTGGGACGATGACTTTAAAATCCCTTTCCTATGTTGATATTTATAAACCACAGAGGGTGGAGGTTAAGCTCTGGCTCTGTTTTCAACGGCTTCTCTCATCAGCCAAGGTCAGGAGCTGAGCTCCTGAGGGACCTTGGGTTCACAGTTTTATTGCCAATGAGTAATGCCTTGAAACTGCATCCAGTTCTGCACTTCAGAAGTTTATGTGGTGCTGTTTTTAGTATCTTGATTAAAACTTAGTAGTAAACATAAAGTAACTCTCCTGTCACTATATATTTTCAAGTTTTATTATTTTTTCACCACTCCTCTTTATGATCAGAGTAATAAATGCACCTATACAGGTTTTTCCCTGACATTTTATGCTTCTGACTCCATGAATAAAATCTGCTATAGAAATGCTGAAACAATGTCTCAGGCAGTTAAATAAGCAGAATGACCTTATTAAATTGATGTTTTTCAATATTTAAAAGTAAGACATTTTTTAGATAAAATATGCAATTCACCAGTTTGTGTTGACATTCTTTTTTTCTTTTTCCTTTTTCTCTTTTTTCTCTTTTTATTCAGTAAAAGAAAATCCGGAATTGCTCACCTCCACCTGCAAATAAATGTGGAAAGAAGCAGCCTGGACAGATTTACCCTTACAGAACATAATTATGATAATAGCTACACATAGATTTATTTAAGATTACCCCTATTCTTGGAATTTTCTTAAAGATTTGTGGAACTCTTAGCATCTCCTCTTCCTTATTTTTTTTCTCCTGGTAGTGCAGTGTGATGATCAGGTTCAGTGTCTAATGAGGCAGCCATTCTGAACACGTAGAGACAAAGAAGAGGTTTCCCTGGCAACGAGGACCATGCCAGAGCTCTCAGAACAGTTATTTCCCCTGTATTCAGGTTCCTTTTCTGTTTAGGATGCCTATTAGTGTGAGTTCACAGGCAAGGCCTGGCAAGCTTTTCAGAGATTACAGCTCCTAAATATACATAACAAAATACAGCTAAGGCTATGATTTATGAGTAAATTAAAAGAAAGGAAGAAGACATGTATTTTTTTCATTTTTATCTTTTTTGATAGAATCTTAAAACAATGATGACTACAAGTTCATTACATATGTCTAAAGTTATTAAATACTGCCCATATCTCTTTAGAACTTCACTGGTCTCAGCAAAATTTGTGTGAGTTCACTGAATTCTGAGCCATATTTCTGCTGTCACTAGAATAAGCATTTATCAAGGTTTTAGATCTGAAACACACATGAATTTAAGCACATAGAGATGTGATGAAATATGTAGAATGGTATTTAATATAACTTGAATTTAAATCTGTTTCAATGTAGAGAAAAATTACAGTAATAAATTATTGAAATATTAGATTTTTTTACTATTTAAAAGTAAAATGAAATTAAAATTAAATTATATTCTTTAGTTCAAATCTTTACTTGCATCTGAAATGTATAAGCCTTTTACGATGAAGACTTCTGAAGTCAGATTAAGAGATGAGCTTTTCCACATCCTTACAAGTTCTTGACAGAACTGAGAAGATTACTACACCACCCAGCCCAAAGCTTGGTCAGGATCCTGAAATCATTCATGCAGGGATCCAACTCAGCTGAGAGTTTTGATCTGGAAAGTGTTTTCAAAGTGAACCTGCTCACACACCTTAAACATTCAACAGCAATTTCTACTTCATGTACATCAGAAGCACTAATCTCATATCCACGATATCCACTGGAGAGATGGAATAAAATAGTCCAGGTTGGAAGGGACCTACAAAAATCAGCTAGTCCATCTGATAAAAACATCTATTTAATTCCACTCTCATCAAGCAAGAATTCAAACCAACCAGCTTTCTTTCTTTCTTTTCTTTCTTTCTTTCTTTCTTTCTTTCTTTCTTTCTTTCTTTCTTTCTTTCTTTCTTTCTTTCTTTCTTTCTTTCTTTCTTTCTTTCTTTCTTTCTTTCTTTCTTTCTTTCTTTCTTTCTTTCTTTCTTTCTTTCTTTCTTTCTTTCTTTCTTTCTTTCTTTCTTTCTTTCTTTCTTTCTTTCTTTCTTTCCCCCCTTTGCCTTCTGTCCTTCCTTCTGTCCTCTTGTCCTAATAAATACTACATCACTGTATGAAGGAATGGACAGCAAATGTATGAATATTTTGAGGCAATAGAAAGGACTAAAGGACTGTTTCTGGACAGAACTGCAACGAGCTAACTTTTACTGCAGTCATCATTTCATCTGTCAGTAGCTGAACTTTTAAATCTTTTATCCAGCTCATTAAAAAAAAAAAAATATATATATATATATATGTATACACACACACATATATCCAGAGCACTTTAAAGTTCTCCAAGCTAAAATTCAAGCATTAGGATCCCAAGAGGAAAAAACCTCCCTACAGCCTTGAGTAAAGAACCTAAAAGGCAGAACTTAATCTCTCTCTCTTCATTATTCACTATTGATGATCTGTAGGAAGCTACATAGTGCCTATGCATACTGAGTGGAGTCCTGCATATTTAGAGAGAACCCTAGGCAGTGGCTTCTTCTGGGATGTTAAACAGATGGCAACTAACTCCTCATGTCTGTGAGACAGGAAGGTTTTCTAACTGCCCTGGAACAAATAGGATCCTTAAAAACAAGCTCTGCAAAGTCCCCTATATCTGGTTCTCAGACACTAACCAAAGCACTTGTCACAAGTTCAGCTGGGATTGATAGGCCTGGGAAGAGATTGCTTGGCTCTTCTTTATATCCTGTCTCATATTCAATTCAATTATATGTAAAGTAAGGCAGTTGCAAAGTAGTGAGAAACTAAGAAAAATAAAAAATGGTAAATAGGAGTAAAAATAAATTAAAAAGTGGGATCTTGCTTTGAGCCTGTAAGGAAGATATTTTCATTTTTTTATCCTGTGAAGATTGCAAAGGAAACTCATTTCAGCTTTGTAAGACCACAACGATTGCTTCAGACACAAAATGAATCAAACCACTTGTTGGATTATGTGGGTGGTATTTCCACTCTTCCCTAGTGGGATAATTCACAGCCTGCAGCTGTGGCATGAAAACTTAAATATTTTTTCTCTTTCTGTCTGGATTTAAAAGGAAGGACCTGCATTCATTTGCTGTTTTAAGGAAAAAGGAAAAAGAAATTGAAGGCCCATTAAAGATTAGTAGTGTGAAACAGAGCAGTCATAAAACAAAACTGCATAAACAAAGAAGGAATTAATTTGCATCTTTTTAAGCAGTTATAGTCTAGTATTTGAAAGTGACTGAGAAGATATGTACTTGCCCAGGTGTATTAATAACAAGATAATGGTTGTAAACAACCCCTTTTGTACTGTTAAGAATCATGACTCTTTACTTACCTGCTCTTAAAGAATTGTTTTCCTTTTATACAACAAAATTTTTAGTACTATTATTACCTTTGGAAACAATTTTCTTGGATTCTTTGTGTGCAATTCAAACAAATTAGATGATACATAAACTATACATTTGCTATTCTGTATCATTAAAAACTCTTTGCAAATTCCCAGCAGAACTTAATTTCCAAGTACATTTTTATTAGTCTAGGAATATCTTCTCCAAGGGGGAAAAAAAAACAACCAACCAAAACACACAAAATCCAGAGCAACAAAAATCAACCCCAAACAAGTAAACTTGAATTCAATGCTTCTCTTCTAATCCAACATAAAGTTGATCTTCCATGACACATTTCTTAAAAACTGCATTAAAGTTTTTCCATACCCTGTAAATTATTTTCTTTCCTTAATAGCTTGTTGTACTGTTTGCCAGTACAATGACTAGGAAATCACTATTAACACTTAAGCTAATTAAGGTTTTCAGAAAACATTGGTTACGATGTTCTCATTAGCAGACTTTAAAAAAATACTTTTCAGATATTTGAAAAAGAAGATTGCTTTTAAATCTCAAGAAATGAATGTAAGTGTTCATATTCTGGTACATTAACAGTTTGTTCCAGTACATTGATATTTTATGTGGAAATCCTACTCTGCAATTAATATGCTTGATGCAAATTGAAAAACCTATAATCCATCCTTTTCTGTTGTATTGTAAGAGCATACTATTATTGAGAAGCTACAGGGTATCAGAACCATTTTTTTAAAGTTGAATGCCCATTACCTTAAATCTGCATATAAAATAGTTTGCTTTCATAGTAGGTAATATATAACTGACTTTACCATGATACACATGAAAATATAACAAAAAACAATAATAACAATAATAATAATTAGTCCACTGTGTTTCAGCTCCACAATTACATATTTTAGCATTAGTAAATAAAAATAGCTTAAAATTAAACACAAAAACCTAATGAAATATCTGGCTGTTCTAGACAATGAGATATCTGCATGGTCACCTAATGTATTAAGTTTGAAAATAATTTGGTCTTTATTATATTTTTGGAAATTTCCCAAATCTACTGAAAAGCAAAAGTTATATTTTTGAACATAAAATAAAAGTTAATAATTGTGTAAATGTAAATAAAACATGTCTATGCCACATACTATCCCCTAGAGACATTTTCAGTGGAGGTGATTGCCAATGATTGATTGATACTGAGATATCCTTTCCCCTGGATCATATAGTATGAAGGAGCAGGGTTCTGGTGGGTTGACCCTGGCTGAACAACAAGTGCCCAAAAAACCATCCTCTCAGTCCCCTCCTCTGCTGGACAGAGGGAGAGGAAATATTAGGAAAGGTTCACGGGATAGGAACAGAAATGATCACTTGCAAATTATTGTCACAGGTAAAACAGTTTCAGTGTGGGGAAATTAGTTTGATTTAGTGCAAATGAAATCAGACAAAGCTAATGAGAACTAAAAACAAATCTTAAAAAACCTCTCTCCCCCACCCCTCCCTTCTTTCCAGGCTCAAATTTCTAAATTCTCTACCTCTTTCTCAACAGCAGTGCAGGCAGATGGGGAATGTTGTTGTCAGTTCAACACACATTGTCACTGCTTTCTCCTCAGAAGAAGGACTCCTTCACAAACTTCTCCAACAGGAGTCCTACCCACAGGCTTCAATTCTTCACAAACTACTCCAGCATAGGTCCCTTCCACAGGATGCAGTCCTTCAGGAGCAGTTCCATCAGTGGTTTTCCCACAGGGTCACAAGTCCTGCCAGCAAACATGCTCCAGCATGGGCTCCTCTCTCCATGGGGCCACAAGGCCCTACAAAGGACCTGATCCAGCTTGGGCTTCTCACAGTTACATCTTCCTTTGGACAGATCCACCCAGTCTGACATGGGGTTCTCCACAGGCTGCAGGTGGATCTCTGCTTCCTCCTGGGGCTCCATGAGGTTCAGAGACACAACCTGCCTCACCATGGGCTGCACCATGGGCTGCAGGGGAATCTCTGGTTCCTGGAGCTCCTCCTCCTCCTCCTCCTCCTCCTTTACTCCCCTTGGTGCCAGCAGAGTTGTTTCTCTCACACATTCTCACTCATCTCTCTGGCTGAAGTTGTCCATACACCGTTTGCCTCCCATCCCCACACTCTTTTTGACTGTAACACCCAAAGCTGCCATTGGACTCTGCCTTGGCCAGCAGTGGGTCTGCCTTGGAGATGGCTGGCACTGGCTCTGTCAAATGTAAGGGAACCTTCTGGCAGTTTCTTTCAGAAGCCACTCCTCTAGCTCCCTGCTACCAACACCTTGAGGTGCAAACACTATTCCACACCTTGCCTCTGTGAATCACATATTTAAAATTTGTCAGAAAAATCCACATTCATCACACAATCTTCACAAAGTTCAATCACATCATTCACATCTACGAAACAATTCCTCACACCAAAAACAAAACAACATCACAACACCAAACAAGTTCCTGGTCTAGAAATTTTTCCATTAACAGTAATGACAGGGTCTCACAGTAACAGGCAGCACAGCAACTTCCTGCAGCTGCCTGATTTATACAGACTGCTGGATACTCCACTGCTAGTACTCCTACTTTAGGTGAAGGGAAATTAAGACCTCATGTATCAAATACCTTGAAAACTCTTTTAAAGCCAGAAAAAGGT